GTATTAGGTTATGCCTACCCTCATAGCCAGATTTTAAAACTAGTGACTTCGCCACCACATCCTAGGTGGAAAAGCCAAAAGGGGTTTTTGTGCCAGACACTTAGATTTCTCCTGAGGTTTCTATTCTAGTGTGACTCTTCTTAGTTAGGATACTTTTAGTTTTAAGCAACAGAAAACCAACTTAACATGGCATAAATAATAAAGGGAACTTTCTCCCAAAGGCAATGGCTCAGGCAAAGTTTGATCTAGCAGCTCAAAAATGCCCCCAAATGACCTTTTTACTTTCTATTTCTTACCTCTACTTCCTCTCTAGTGGCTCCATTCTAAGACAACAGCTCTCCCTTGGTGGTCCCTGGGGGCTGCCAGCAGCACCCAAGACTGAAGTTTCACAGTTCAAGTGCAAAGGGAAAAAGAGAATCTGCTTCTTGATATCTCAAGCAAAAGTCCTAGGATAGAGTCTCATTGACACGAGTTGTCCTGATGTGAACCATGTGTCTTTCTAGAATGGATCCCTGTGGCTGGTGGGAGGGGGTGGGTGTGTGGTAAGCATTCCCACCCAATTACATGGCTGGCTGGGAAGATTATCAATTGGAAGGGTGAACTAGGAATTGGATGCTGACGAAGGAGCTAACAAATGTCTGCAGCGGCCGCTAAACACTCTCTGGAAGCTAAGAACGTGAAGAACAGAAAGGTATTATACTCTTCAAATAAAGCCAGCCAAGGGTATTGCCCCAGTGTTCACTTTTGAACTTCCGTGTTTCCTAACAGATCTGGCAGTTCAGCAGCCTCTTCTCCAAAATCAAGAGCTGGGAGTTTAATGAAGTTGCCTCTATGTCTGAACACCTGAAGGCCTGTCCTTTCAATGTTGTAGAGCATAAGACTGACCCAGTTCTTTTGACCAGCATGTGTCAGCTCCAGGAGCCGGCCCAAGAGAGCTTAGTCACCACCTTTAGAGCCAGACCACGAGGAAGACACACCTGCTAAAGATTCAGATGCCACCATTGGATTCACCCTCTGGGTTACTGAAAGTAGGACAGAGTGTGATTTTGAGGACTTTCTTCTGTAAACTGCATACGTGCTTATCTAGGTGTATTGGAGCGTGCACTGCCCTAAACCTGAGCAGTTGCACAAGGTCTAAGAATTTCCCAAGCCATGGCTTGTACGCTTGCTATAAGGGCCATACTGATAACTTATTTCCTTCCCCCACCCTTTTTTTTTTTCCTAAAACAAATCAGTCTGAGGAGAAAATAGATAACTTGAGGCCACTTGAAAGATGAGCCCAAGTCTTAGGAAACAAGAGAGCAGTGAAATTCCATAACGAGCACAGGCCTGTGCTTTTGTGGGGAACATTTTAGTTGATAAGCATTTACAAATATAGGGGGCAGGTAATGCAGGAGTGGGTACTGAGGTGCGTCACAGGGCACCCAGGGTGAAGGGCACATGGTTTGATGGTTCTGGAGCTGGGGTTATCTTGATGGTTAAGTCCAGGTCTTCTTTTAGTCACTCCACTGCCTGTAAGCCCAGGAAGTCCAAGCACAGCACAGCCCTATAAAATGGAAACCTTGGCTGAGCACAGCAGCCTCAAGGGCACTGCAGGCCAAAGAATGAGAGGCAGAAATGAGGTCGCAGAGTTTGTTGTGGAGAATCTTGGCAATATATAGAAGGATAGCCTTGCGCAATGAGGAAGAATCCAAAGGAGACATTGTATTAATGGAGAAAACTAGCACCAAAAGCCACAAGCCTACTTTTAAACATGTCAAAAATGACCTAAGAGTCAAGGTTCTTTTCTTCTTAAAATTATATCCTAGGTGTGGATTAGGGAAGCATAGGCACCAGCCTGAGCTAGCTGAGATGACCACAAGACACTAACACCAACTTCAGCGTCATGCAAGAATGCATGCCCGGAGAGATCACACGTTCAGCGAAGTCCAGACAAGGCCCACTGCAGTTCCTGTGGCACCAGCCACCAGGTCCCAGACACCACTCGAGTACCTGGTGGGGCACCATGAGAAGGAACACTCCTGCACATAGTAGTTCCTTGTAATTGCTCCTACCTATTGTTGTTCATGACTCCAGTCTGTCAGAAATGGGTGATACATTGGTCTTGGGTGACAAACAGTGAATACTCATGAAAACAAGAGTAAAATACATAATAGAAACTGCCATCCCTTTAAGCAGGATTTCGCAGAACTACTGACATTTTGAACTGAATACTTCTTTGTTGTAAGGGACTGTCCTGTGTGTTATAGGATATTTAGCAGCATCTTTGGCCTCTATCCAATAGATACCAGTAGCACTCCCACTGCGGTAACAACCCAAAGTGTCTCCAGACATTGCCAAATATCCTCTGGGAGTGAAACCACGCTGGGTTGAGAACCACCCTAAACAATGTCATACCAGTGGCAGTAACTTAGGATAAGCTTTTTAGTACAACAAAATCTTACATAATGATCTACAATGGTTATGATTTTATGTAGCTCTTCTTTATTTACTAGATAAGTTTTAGACAGATGTGATTTTAAGTTGGGAGCCAGATGGAGCTGATTGTTTGGTGTGGCTTTATGTCCTTAAGTCATGTGCAAAAAATACATCCTTTCAGCTCTCTCCAGATATAGCAAAAGCAGGGCATATTGAGCTATTTATCTTGTGTTTCTTTCCCTCTCACCTGAATCAGTGCCATTTTCCCAGCAGTCCTCAAGCAAGTGAGAAAGAAGGGAAAAGGGGGACAGGTATTATGGGGAAGCAGAGTACAAAGAATTCAACAATGAAAAGAAAGAGTCTAGTCAATATGGATGCTTTTTGTTGCCTGGGTCTCTCTCTGAACATGGTCCAGAGCTGGTATAGATGAAGTAGAAGACACTTGTGAGAAGAGTCAAGGAGGTATTAGAGCAAGTCCCAGAGTAGAAATATGCTCATCTTTTCATTATCATGCACCACTTGGTACTAGTTGGTAAAGTAACTCTGTTTCTTAATCCTTTTTTCTTGGTTTATATTTCACATTTGTATATAAGGCACCATTTTCTAAAAATACAACTAGAGTGTGAGCTATGATTTTATTCAGTGAAGATGAGTAACTGGAAACAACTGAACACTGAAGCGGGAAAAAAGGAAAAGTTCTCCTTTTGAATCTAGTTCCCTCCTATCTGGAGAAAGAAAGCTCCTGATATCCACTCAGGGTCTCTTTTCTTACTAGAAAAAGAGAGAAAGGGAGCTATTGACCAAGGGAGATGAAAATCAGGGGCTGCTCTTAGGCAGATGAGAAATAGAGAGAAAGGAAGAGAGCAGAGGGTTTTCTTTCACAACCTGGGCAGCTCAGGGTTCAGGAGAGCAGCCAGGAGACTGCCCGTATGGCTATGTGGGCTGCACACTTGCAGTCCATCTTTATTTTCCTAGTTGCTGCCTTTGGAGCAATATTGATCAACATCATCAAACACATTTTGTAAGATATCTAATTGAATATGTTGCAGGAAACCAGGGTACTACAGGTATCCACCGGTCTACACAAACAAGCACATTTTATGGTGAGAGGGCAGTTGGAGCAAAAAGGAAGCCTTTTAGAGAGACTGTGGATCAGACAGAAAATTGACTGGATTCATGAGATGAGGCCGTGGTGAGTAGCATGAGCAGCAGAATTACCTGACAGAAGCAAGACAGCTAGACATGCCTCAGATTAAGAAGCAGCTGAGCAGAGTGAAAAGGAATAGGAATAGGAGCTTGGACAGGGAGGTGTCTATGAACAGACTCTTTAATAAGTATCACCACCAAGAAGTCAATCCAGAGTAGAGATCAGCCAGACGTGGAGGGTGAAGTCTGTAGCACTGATGCAGAAAGGAAGTTTTTGTCTTATAATGAAGGGAAAAGTGAAAAACAATGTGGGACTTAGAGATGTAACAGGAAAACCACTGTCAAAGTCTGATCTATGTATGATATCAAGTCAAACTGAAGTGAAGAATGAGATTACGTATATGTCTGGTGACTTGCCTCCGGATGCTGGAAATTCCAATGTCTCTAGAAGCAGAAATAAAAGCTGTTTTGCACTCTGGAAGGCTACCTGGGTGAGTCTTGTAAGTTAGGTCTAAAGACAGATTTGTGACTCACTGGCACAGAGGTCATTGTGGAAACAAAGGAGTGTGTGTCTTAAAGAAAAACCAAGGAATCAGCCTGAGGGATGCAGTGCTCACATGAGGAGCTCACCAACTTTATGAAGTCCTAGAGCAATTATGGATATCAGTCACTAATCCTAGCTGCACCTTGATCCCACTGTTTTCTTCATCTTTGCCCCAAATCCCTGACTTTTATTTTGATTTTGCCTAGGATCTCCTATCAGACCTTGCGGAACCCAGTGGTCTGGGCCTCTCATTCTTTCTCATCCCCATAATTTGCTTGATGATTTGCTTTTTGCCCACCACTAGTTATCCAAATGTATTCACCTCTTTTCCTATCAGCCTTGGCCCTGGACCATAGAAAGAATGCTCATAAGTTTCTTCTATCTGCTCTACTTGGCCATCAATTTCAGTCATCCAGCTACAAGGAAGCCTGAACTTTCTCTAGTAGAGGCCATTGTCTCTGACCCTAAATCCTCTTAATACCTCATCGGAGCCTGTGGTCCTTTAGCTTTAGTCTTTTTTTATTGGCCATATCTCCCTTTTCCTCTTTCAATCCCCTAATTTGTGTTTCTTCCTCAAGAATCATGTCCTAAAAGAATGTACTCATTATTCCCAGAAAGAAGGTGGCTGGTCTCTCACAACTGCTGAAGCCAAAAAAGTTGAACTTCCTGGTCCCCTGGCCCCCCACCTTACTGCCATTTTCCAGGTCAATGTGTTTTGGATTGGGTTTAGGTACAGTCTAAGGAAAAGGCCCAACCCTTGATATCCAGGGTGCAGGGCAATGGGCAGTGGTAGGCGGGAGTCTTCTAGATATGCCTGAAAGACGGAAAGAGAATTGGAGCTGTGAGAGAAGGGCCATTAAGGGCTGCATAAAAAGTACTATTTACCTCAGCATAGAAATGAATCATAGTCCCACTTTATTTCTGATTTAACTGAACAGAGAGAAGATTAAAAAATTATCTCCACAAAAAAGGAAAGTGGGCAAATAGCACAGCCAAGCAAACCAGGCAATCTAGACATACCTTCCCATATAAACAAACCAGGAAGCTCAGAGCTCACAAACGGAGCAAGGCAGAACTTGGGGTATTTGAAGGAGCATTCATGGCGAAGGAGGAAGGACCACAAAATAAACGTGCATAAGCTCATCTAGGGTAGAGAGGACACTGAGTGGAAGGAGACCCCTTCTTCATGTTGTCTCTGCCCCAACCCCTAGTGGAGAGGGAGAAGAAAGTCTGTCTAGAATATAGGCAACTCATGACACTTGCAGCAGGAATGGGGCATGGGTGGAGGCAGAACAACTTTGGACATGGGAAGTCACAGTGCAGAAGACAGGGAGGGCCATTTACTGGAGGAGCTTGACATAATTTGCAGGAAAGAGTCCAAAGTGGCCGTGGCAATGTCCCCGCCACCAGCCCTCATCCACCATCTCAATGTCAGTGATGATGTCATCAGGATCGAAGGAAATCTCGTCGCTTCCTTCTGGGGAGGCAATTGATGGAATATTAGGATGGTCAAACAGTAATCCTTCCATTCCTGTGCCCACTGTAAACCTCAGGGAGGGAAAGGGGCTGTTCTTCTTCATGCCAAGGCTGGTCCTTCCCTGACCCCCAGAATCCATCTCCCTCTCTCCTAGTAAGGGCCTCCAGGCACCAGACCCCTCAGGCCACTCCAAACCTACCTCCTTGGTAATCATACAGGGCTATAGCTGAGATCCCTGCTCCAGTCCCAGCTGGGTAGCCAGATGATTCTGCATAATGAGAGATATAAACATGGTCTCACCAACATGGAGAAGGAAAACAGGTCCTTCTAGGGAATGGGGCAATTCTTCCTCTTGCCCTCCCCTGGACTAGACCCATTCAGGAGCTGTTTCTCCCCCACCACTCACCAGCCAGAGTGGAGGGACAAGAAGGATTCTCAGTTTCAAGCACATCTTCATAGTCCCCATCTGGTTCACCATCCTGCTCATGTCTGTCCATGTCTCCAACATCCTCATAGTCATTCTCAGGCTCAGGCTCAGGCTCTGCTTCATATACTGGCTCTTCCTCCAGCTGCAGGCCTTCTGGAGTCCTGGGAGGCAAAGCTGGGGGCTCCTCGTCCTGTGAAGAGATGGTGTGGATCAAAGTGATTTTTACCCACCAGGAGCTACCTCTCTACAACCTCCCAGTGGAGGACTACTAAGACTGCTCCCCATCACCATCCTACCACTTCTACCCTCTATCCTTGCCTCCATCTAATAGCCTTCCCTAGGGAACCCAGTCTTTTATCCATCTTTATTCCTCGAGCTCCTCCCATACCCACCTACTCAAAACACCTATCAAGAGGTGATAGGAGGGAAATGTAAAGGGTGTGAAGAGAGGGAAATGGAAAGCAAGTCTGATTCCTTGAATGACTGGGAAAACACTGAAGCAAAAACACATTGTTGGGAATACCACAGGCAGGATGACCAACTGTCCTGGTCTGCCCAGGACTAGGTGGTCCCCAGAATGCAAGACTTTCAGTGCTAAGACCAGGACAGTACCAGACAAACCAGGATGGTTGGTCACTTCATATGGCCCACCTTCCTAGGACATGAGGAGATGGGAAAGAGGCAGAGAATCTTTGGGGCTCTACTTACCTCTGGGGGATTCTGCCTCAAGGGCAGGGCAGGCACTGGCTGTTCCTTACTGGTTCTCACAGGCTCAGGCTCTGATGATGGACAGCTCCCTGCTGGAGGCCAGGCCTGGGGAGAATAAAGCATCTCTCTTGTAAGTATGCAAACCTCCCTCTTCTCTACTGTCTGGAATACCCACCCAATCCAAATCAACCACCCCTCAAGATGGGCTCCAACCTGAAGTGATAGCTCCTTCCTCTAGTTCCTGCAGCAATTACTGGCTACACAGCAAAACATGCAAATTTGGTTTATGTAAATCTGGGATTCCCCCCCCCCCCAACATTTTGGTATATATGAGGCCCAATCACTCAGACTGAAATCTTCCTGAAGACAGAGATAGTAGTTTTAGACTTTGCCTTACACCAGGGAGGCCTGTGCCTTATTTTCTATCAATGATTTGGACTCCTTAGTCTCCTATCTGGGCAAGGGATCCTGGATGTGAACCCCAAAAGGCCAACCACTCACCTCTGAAGAGATTTTCTTGGGCAATGGGGCTGGCATCTCCGGTTCTCCCACAGTGTCCACTGGCTGCTGAGCCTCATGGCTCATCTTTATCAGGGCCTTTCTCTCCTGTTGCTGCCTGGCTATCTGCTGTGCCTTTTCTTCTTCCTCCCGCTTCCTCTTTTCCTCAGCCATAGATTCAAATTTTGCCTTCAACCCACGGGCACCACTAGAAGCTGCAGACACAGGCAAGAAGAATTAGGATTGTCTTGAGTCAGGGGTCGGAGTGGTGGATGGCACTCCAAGGAAGAAAAGGAATTGGTTAAATATCCAGGCAGAGAGCAGATGGAGAGGAACTCATGGGAGGAAAGGAAAAGAGGTACTAATGGAGGAACAAAGGGATTATAGGAGGAGGATGTAGACATAAAGCCCAGATTTCCGTATAGCCAGGCCATGCAGTCTCAGACTCTTGTCCTTTCTAAGTTATAAGCCTTGTTCCCCTAACTGGCATCCTTTTCCTCTCCACATTCCTTAAATCTGTATGCCCTCTAACCACCACCTACCCTCTCTCCCCCATCCCAAGCTCTTATCTTTCTGTATTCTTCCCAGATGACTCCCTATCCCTCCCTCCCTGTGTTCTCTCCTTACGGTTCCTTCCCAATGTCACTCTATCTCTCTATCCACTTAACCTAGTTTTTTAGGAGAATGAATCTAGAAATGCCTGGGCAGGGTCAAGTCTATCTCAGCTAGTCTAGGTAGTTAAAGGCATGGAGGAGGTAGTCTGGGCATAAGAAAGAATAAGAAGGGGGAGGTGGTTGAGGAACATAGAGAAAAGGAATTGTTAAGACTTACCAGCTTCTATGGGTGTCGTCTTTTTATAAGCTGTGGTTGGGGCCTCCATTTCATTGAAGCCAACAGCGCTCTGCAGGGAGGAGAAGAGTATGCACAGTGTGGGGAGGAGAAGGGAACGGTAATGACCCAAAGTCAGTATTGGTGTTTGGAGCCTTCTAGGAGGTATCCCTCACCATCTGATGCTCAATAGTTAAACAGGATATTCCAATATTGTTATTTTGTGGCAGAGAGAGCAGTAAAGAAGTTCTAAACTGGTGGGCTCAGATCCCCTTTTTGAAAGCTCAGTGTGCCTAGAATCTCACATCTCTAAGTGCAGTGGCCTAGAATGCAGCAGGGCCCCAGCCAATGCATGAAGAAGAACTAATGTGAATGGAGTGGGAGGAGATTATAGATTGAATTAAGCAACACCTAGGAATCAATGAAATTTCAAACATCACCTTTCCCTGAAGTTTATGTGTTTTTGTCTCTCTGACTCCCTCCACTCTTCTTAGTTAAAGCTTAGGCTGCAGAAGACTTGCCCATTAGATACCGAAGGTAGTCAATGGGGAGTGTAGGAAGACACCTCAGGACACTTAGGTTTTCCTATCTCAATGTACTTCAGGTGCAGTTGAGGGACCTCTTCTCAAGACATTGGTGTGCTGGTGCTTTACCTTATCCACTCGGTCCTTCTGGATTCCATACTGACCACCAAAGCCCTTGGCATAATCTGCAGGACAAAAAGTTTTGAGAAGGTGCCTGAGTGGCTCAGTCATTAGGCCTCTGCCTTCGGCTCAGGTCATGATGCCAGGGTCCTGGGATCAAGCCCCGCATCGGGCTCCCTGCTCAGAGGGAAGCTTGCTTCTCCCTCTCACATTCCCCCTGCTTGTGTTCCCTCTCTTGCTGTCTCTCTCTCTCTCTCTCTCTGTCAAATAAATAAATAAATAAATCTTAAAAAAAAAGTTTTGAGAGTCATAAGAAGAGTATATGCTAGGAATGTGTAGGTAGAGGAATCATGGGAAGAAAGACCAGAAGACAGGAACATGAAAAACAGAGATGGATGGGGAAGAATGAGAATCAGAGGATAGAGAGAAGCATGGATGGGAAGAGGCAGAAAAGGATTGAGAGAGAATGGATGGGAGAGAGATGTGAAGAGAGAAATATAAAAAGAGAGAAGTGACAGAAAAGGAAGGAATATAAAGGAAGAAATTGGAAAAAATAAGGAGAGCCCTCCAGCCATCCCTTATGTGTCCCAGGGCAGAGAGAGACCTCTCTGTCCTTGTGAGGCTCATAGCCAAATCACCCACGTGTCATCACCCAGCCTGTCTTTACCCTTTTCTCAGTGACCCCTTCTCTTTGGCCCCCTCTGTCCTGCTCCTAATCTTGCTGTATTCCTCTCTACCCTCCTGGTTTCTCCCCCCGACACACACACATACAGACACTTACCCTTTATACCACCACCTCCACTGTACATCTGCACCTCTGTATTCTAGGTTCTCTGTGTCAGCTTCCAGAAAGGAAGGAAGGAGGGCTCTATGCTACTGTGTGACCTCCCTCCTCTCCAACCCCAACTCACCTCTCTGGGACTCGTGTTTCTCTGTTTCTCCTTTGTAGTCATATCCCAGAGCTGCCTTATCCCGTTTATCCTTCTCTATCCCATAGCGGCCTCCAAAGCCATGAGAGTAATCTGTGGTGGAAGGAGTAGTCATGAGAGCCCACTCTCAGCCCACAGGAAGGTGCTGTGGAAGAGAGAAGTCAGGAGGAGTGGGTGCAGAGGGGTAGGGGCCTGGGAAGGCAGCAGGGCTAGAATCGAGGTGGATTAAAGAGAAACAGTGTCCTAAGCCATCTTGTGTAAGCTTTAATTCAACATTGTTCACTCCTTTCCTCTCCTCCTTTACTCCCATCCCAAGATGAGAAGATCATTTCATTTTTTTCCCTTCTTCAAGGAAGGGGAAAGTATAGAGAATGTAAGGAGAGACTTTTAGGGGGGGGAAAGGCAGATACATATGAAATTTATGCCTGTTCCTACTCCCATATAAACACTTAGAAATGTCTGCTAAAATATAACGATCTTTTTTTTTTTTTAATAGTAAAGCTCAAGAAAAAAGAAAAAAAAATCCTGGCTCCAGAAACCATAGATAAATCAAAGCAGTACAGACGAGGGTAATTATGACTCAGAAAACCCAAGGGTGTTTTAAGTCCCAAATTTAGTACCTAGGGATTAGGATCTAGGGTCAGGTGTTCTTATACAAGAACAGAGGACTGGGGAACAAGAAATGGCAGTCTGCTCACTCCTATAAAAGAGTTCTAGAAAAATTCTACTCGTTTATGTAGGGAAATGGTGAGGGGGGTTGTAGTTTGTTCAGCATTTAATAGGGGGAAGTTTTACCTATGGGACTTGGAAACTCCAGGCCTACCCTGAGTATACAGAATGCAAATATCCAGTTTTATACCACTTACATTACACAGGAATTCTAAGCTGAGAAATTAATGCTGATATAGAAAAATATATACCACAGAAAGAATAAGCATCAGAAAGACGGCAGGAATATGAGAAACAGTAGACCTCAATACAAAATGCATTATAAGAGGTGAAAGAGATATAACACAATAATAAGAAAACAAATCATCATTAATGAGGAATATGTATGCCGGTATAATCTATTAACAGAATCAAAATTCATGAAGCAAAACCTGACAGAAACAGGAAGAGAAATAGAAAAACCTGTGATCCTAGATGAAAATTTTAACCCTCCTCTTACATTGATAGAATGCTTAGACAAAAAGAATCTAAAATTATAGAAGGTCCAAACAACATTATCAACTAACAAAACCTAATTGACATTTACAGAATATTATATATCCCAAAACTGCAGAATACACTTTTTTCATGCACATAGAACATTCACCAAGATAGACCATATGGTTGGGGTACCTGGATGGCTCAGCTGGTTAAGCATCTGACTCTTGATTTCTGCTCAGGTCACGATCTCAGTGTCGTGAGATCGAGCCCTGCACTGGGCTCTGCACTCGGCATAGAGCCTGCTTAAGACTCTCTCTCCCTCTCCCTGTGCCCCTTACCCCTGCACTCTCTAAAATAAATAAATAAATCTTTAAAAAATAAAAATAATTGACTTTCTCTGCTTGACTTATTTCTCTCAGCATAATCTCCTCCAGTCCCATCCATGTTGATGTAAAAGTTGGGTATTCATCCTTTCTGATGGCTGAGTAATATTCCATTGTATATATGGACCACATCTTCTTTATCCATTCGTCTGTTGAAGGGCATCTCAGCTCTTTCCACCATTTGGCTACTGTGGACATTGCTGCTATGAACATTGGGGTGCATATGGCCCTTCTTTTCACTGCATCTGTGTCTTTGGGGTAAATGCCCAGTAGTGCAATTGCTGGGTCATAGGGTAGCTCTATTTTTAAATTTTTAAGGAACCTCCACACTGTTTTCCAAAGTGGCTATACCAACTTGCATTCCCACCAACAGTGTAAGAGGGTTCCCCCTTCTCCACAACCTCTCCAACATTTGTTGTTTCTTTCCCTGTCCATTTTTGCCATTCTAACTGGTGTGAGGTGGTATCTCAATGTGGTTTTGATTTGAATTACCCTAATGGCTAATGATGATGAACATTTTTTCATGTGTCTGTTAGCTATTTGTATGTCTTCTTCAGAGAAGTGTCTTTTCATATCTTCTGCCAATCTTTTGACTTGATTATTTGTTTTTTGGGTGTTGAGTTTGAGAAGTTCTTTATAGATCTTGGATACCAGCCCTTTATCTGTAGTGTCATTTGCAAATACCTTCTCCCATTCTGTGGGTTGCCTCTTTGTTTTGTTGACTGTTTCCTTTGCTGTGCAGAAGCTTTTTATCTTGATGAAGTCCCAAAAGTTCGTTTTTGCTTTTGTTTCACTAGCTTTTGGAGATGTATCTTGAAAGGACTTGCTGTGGCCAATGTCGAAGAGGTTACTGCCTATGTTCTCCTCTAGGATTTTGATGGATTCCTGTCTCACATTGAGGTCTTTCATCCATTTTGAGTTTATCTTTGTGTATGGTGTTAGAGAATGGTCGAGTTTCATTCTTCTGCATGTGGCTGTCCAATTTTCCCAGCACCATTTATTGAAGAGATTGTCTTTTTTCCATTGCATGTTTTTTCCTGCTTTGTCAAAGATTATTTGACCATAGAGTTGAGGGTTTATATCTGGCCTCTTTATTTTGTTCCATTGGTCTATATGTCTGTTTTTGTGCCAGTACCATGCTGTCTTGGTGATCACTGCTTTGTAATATAGCTTGAAATTGGGCAACGTGATGCCCCCAGCTTTGTTTTTCTTTTTCAACATTTCTTTGGCAATTCAGGGTCTTTTCTGATTCCATACAAATTTTAGGATTGTTTGTTCCAGCACGTTGAAAAATGTCATTGGAATTTTGATTGGGATGGCATTGAAGGTATAGATTGCTCTAGGTAGCATAGACATTTTAACAATGTTTATTCTTCTGATCCATGAGCATGGAATATATGTGGAACATAAGGAATAGCATGGAGGACGTTAGGAGAAGGAAGGGAAAAATGAAGGGGGGGTGGGGAATCGGAGGGAGAGATGAACCATGAGAGACTATGGACTCTGAGAAACAAACAGGGTCTTAGAGGGGAGGGGGGAGGGGGGATGGGTTAGCCCAGTGATGGGTATTAAGGAGGGCACATACTGCATGGAGCACTGGGTATTATATGAAAACAATGGATCGTGGATCACCACATCAAAAACTAATGATGTATTGTATGGTGACTAACATAACATAATAAAATTAAAAAAATAATAATAAAAATTAAAATTAAAAAGAGAGAGACATCCAAATGAGAATGAGAATTCTCAATATGCATTGATATGAGTTCCTGAAGAAGGAATAAAAGAGAAGAGGAGAGGCACTATCCAAAGAAAACATGCCTTTGAACTTTCCATAATGGAAGTTATTTCTCAGGTTGAAGAGGATCGATAAGTCTCATGTAGGATAAGAGAAATAGATCCAACACCTAGATATATCCTGATGATATTTGAGAATATCAGAGACAAAAAGAAAACCTTTGGGCGCCTGGGTGGCTCAGTTGGTTAAGCGACTGCCTTCGGCTCAGGTCATGATCCTGGAGTCCCGGGATCGAGTCCCTCATCAGGCTCCCTGCTCAGCTGGGGGTATGCTTCTCCCTCTGACCCTCTTCCCTCTCATGCTCTCTGTCTCTCATTCTCTCTCTCAAATAAATAAATAAAATCTTTAAAAAAAAAAAAAAAAGAAAACTTTAAAAAAAAAGAGAGAGACAAGACATGTTACCTACAAAGGAATGATCGTTAGACTATACAAGAGAGATGTCAAAGAGGCTGAAATAATACCTTCAAAGAGGTGAAGGGAAAATAACAATGAAGAATGGAACAAAATGTATTTTTTAGACAAAGCCTGGAAGTTCTTTCATAGGCTTTCATGGAAAGAATTATCAAAGGATATACTTTAGTAAGAAGGAAATAGAAGAAAGGAGGAAATAGTGAGATACAATAAACAGTGATGCACCAGGAACTTGGTAAATACATTGGTCAATTTAAATAAGTATCACTACATAATAATAATGATTCATTTTTGTGGAGTTTAAAAACACATGGAATCCTTATCCTGAGCAACAACATTTGCCCAGTTGGCACAAAGAATGTAGGATGTAGAAGGAACATAATTAACTTATTCTACATTTCCTTTATTACTAGGAAGAGACAGTGATTAATTTTAAACTTAAGTCAAAGATGAATGTTAACACTTAGGGACTGCTCCCTTAAATAAACGAGTAAAATACCTTATTTTCAATCCACTAGAGGGAAAGGCGGAACTAAAGAAAACTTGACCAATCTCCGAGAAAGAGATAAAGAAGAAAGAAGCAAGTACATGCTTGGATTTAAAAATAAATAAAATACTGGGGAAACAACTATGGAACTAGAGGGAGTTGATGACAGCTATTGCGAGGTGAAGTCTGAGCAGAACAGGTCAATCAGTTTGCTAAGGCTGAAGCGCAGGGTCCTTGCCTTTCTGAGATGCGTGCTTCTCCACTTCTCCTTTGTAATCAAAGCCAACTGCTGACTACAGAGAAAAGGAGAGTGCATTGGTTAGAATTGGAGCTGACAACTTTTCCCCTCCCTCACATACCTTTACCCCTAGCTCAGGCCAGAAGCTAGTTTACAAGAGCTCAGGGCTGAGAGTGGGAGTTTACCCTAGAAACAGATGAGCACCCTGACCTGACAGGCTGGTGTAGCAGCCGTGTGTTAGAGTGCAATGAACATGGGCTCTGTATGTTCATCAGCTCCAGATTCAAACCCCAACCCCAACCTTCCCTATTTATAGTTGTTTAACTTTAGGCATGTCCTTTACGTTACTGAACCTCAGTCTCCTCAAATATGAAATGAAAATAGGTAAACCTGCCTTGTTAACCTCAACTATAAAGTGGGAGAAATGATCCTTCTTTATTTGGGATATTGTGAGTACTAAATGGGGCAAGGTGTATAAAGGGTTTGCATTGTGTCACTCAGGAAATTAGTGCTTTTCTTCCAAACTCTCATGAAACTAAAATGAGATAATAGCTAGAAAAGTGCCTTGTAAACTATAAAGCACTATGCACATCTAAGACATATTATCCCACTCCTAACTGATTATACTATGCCTCTTCTCTTTCCTTAAGTGGCAGCAGAAACCCAGAGATGTGTTTTGATGGGAGGAGAGGCAACTGGGAGATCCTAACCCCTCCAGGGCTGGATACGCTGGCCAATACCTAACATCACCACACAGCAGCATCCCCATCCCCATCTAGCTCAGTACCTATTGGTCTCTAAGCAAGACTAGATTTTGCAACTCAAGAGCTATTAGTTTGTATTGTTTCTTAATTTACATGACACACTGATTGTTTAGGTGATTCAGTTTCTGGCTTCTGAGGCAGATGAAAGAAAGAACGATGAGAAATCAGGCAGAGGCAAGATGGAAAGTTAGAGAACATTCCATGCTCCATACTCCATTACTGCCTTAAAAAATTACCTGCTATGTTTTTCCTTTTCCTTACAGTAATTTTGAAACTTTTCTACCCAACCCCCTAAAGTGCAAATAACATTTTGACAATTAGCTTTAAGGATTCAGACCCACCTAATTAACAACTGCAGGTAAAAAGAAAATCTCAGCTAGCTGTGAAGGAAATGTCCTGTCTGTTTGCAGCTGCAAGGGAAGAGACACTATTCTGCACCATAAAAAACAAGATCAAAGAGTCTAATCTGGGGCGCCTGGGTGGTGCTGTTGGTTGGGCATTCTCATCTCTTTAAAACTACTTTTTTTTTTTTTGTAAAAAGGAGTCTTTAAAACCTCTGGACTTCAGAGATTTGGTGCTAAATCCTGTGAAATGTAACCTTTACCTTCTAAAAACATTATACTTGATTGTTTGCTGCCGTGGTAATAATACTTAAGCCAACATCTGTGTTCTCCTAAAAGGCATAAATAATTACAACATTTTGATATTTGACCAAAAGAGGAGCTTTGAAATTTCCCTCTTCTTTCTTCATGCGTACAGATATAATAAAAACCAATGGTTTGACGGATTCCTTATCTAAACAGAGTTTGAGAATCTTTGTCTCATTTAAATTAACACTATTCAGCTCAGCATGTGGTCTCCCAAAGTGGAACCAAAGAACTTGCTAAGGAAGTTTATGGGGGCTATCCTCATGATGGACTCTCCTGAGTCCACTACCCTGTCTTTCCATAGGAGAAGTGTAGACCCACATTCAATGGTGAGTATTGGTAAATCCCACATGATCTGAGCTGGGTAGCACAGGGAGAGACTTACCTTGTCTGCCCTGTCCTTCTCAACTCCATATTTGCCCCCAAAGCCTTTGGCAGCATCAGTCTGAGAAGAGTGCTTCTCCACCTCAGCAACATACTCATGGCCCACAGCACTCTAAGAAAAATCAGATGGAATGAGTGAAAGACAAAAATGACCATAAAAAATGAAATGATACCATAAGAGACTCTTAACTATAGGGAAAAAACTGAGGGTTGCTGGAGGGGACGGGGTGGGGGATGGGGTAACTGGGTGATGGGCATTAAGGAGGGCACGTGATGTGATGAGCACTGGGTGTTACATGCAACTGATGAATCACTACATTACCCCTGAAACTAATACTACACTATATGTGATCTAACTTGAATTTAAATAAAATTTTGAGAAAAAAAAAAAAAGAAAAGAAATGATGCAGACATGAGTTGGGATGTAAGAATACCAGAAATTCCATTCTGGGTCAGTCTCACAGCCTCCACCAGTATTTCACATAAGCAATATGTGATACAGGGAGAGCAAGGTTACTTTTTCTGGAGGCTTGCGCATCCCAAGTCTTCTTTAATACCATTAGGAACCCATCATTCAGGAAACTCCTATAGGATGGACTGGGAACCCCAAGAATAGAGATGTAGAAACAAAAAGAAAGCTAAAAACAAGGCATTTATGGGTCAAAATAGATAGAGGTAGTTACTGAAGAGCGATCAAAGGGAACTGACTTAATGCTGCAGCTGAGATAGCATATTTCACGAGAACAGCCAGATGCTTTGTTCTGGATCTTTGTGCCCGGGTGTCCATCAGATTTCAGAAGAGCCAACCGAGCCCTGATATTTAACAGTGACTGAGTCTACACCAAAGGGCGTTGGCAGATAATACTGCAAGTAGCCCAAGAGGGCATATAACTTTCCTATTCCCCTCCACTTTTTACTCCATGTATTGTTTTACTTTCTATTCGATTTTGAAAACTATCTCTCTTCCAATATTTAGATATGGATACTTTAATAATCTGGGACTTGAGTAATATTTCAAACCAAATAATGATACCTTACAGAGTCTCAACTAAGAAGAAATTAAAAAGCTTCTCCTTCCTCCATATTTCCAAGCTCATGCTGGGACAAACATTATCAATACAGAGACTGATGTGAAACACTGCCCTGTATGAGCTCCCAGGAACTCATTTTGCAGTATTTTTAGGTCTGTGTAGGTCAAATTTGCTTGTGAATTTAAGAATGAATGAATGTTTATCTATTTTAGTTTTTTCCTAGGAATTTTGTGGAGAATATAAGCCTATGTTGCACTTAACACAATGACAAAACAAAACACTTCTTGAGGGTGAACGAATGGCTTTTACTGAATATATTTTTTTCTCCTTGGAGATAAAATGTTTTTTGTTATAGGCATATATCACTATCTTTGAGGTTAGGAAAATCAGTGGAAACTATGATTTATAATACAAGCATTTTTTATTATATACTTTTATAGTAGCTAATGGATAAAGGAAAACAATATTCATATTTGAAGGCATCTAATAAATAAATTCACATCAATATTTTTCACATGTGCACATATTAGATATAATATATATACAAAAAGAACACTAAGTACACAGTAAAGAAAATAATAAGAGAAGTAACATCGACATAATATACAAACATTCAAAAGCAGTAAATGATTTTAAAACATATTTTTTCCTTCTCTAATTGTGACCCCGTCTCCTCAGTCTAGGAGTTACTGTATGGCTGGGTCTCCTGTGGGCCACCCCTTCCAAATTTTTGAATCCTGTTTTCCACCATCTGTATTTTATGTGTTGAAATCAGGGGAAAAAAATGATACAAATAATATGTGGACATTCTATTTTAAAGCCCAAACGAATGCTGTACGTTTGAACAAGTTTTAAACCATAATACCAATAAACGAATCTATCTTTTGTCTTTAAGCAAATATCTTCCTTTCAGCTTACCTTGTCCATTCGGTCTCTCTCCACCCCAAACCGACCTCCATACCCATGGGATGCTTTGGGCCCTGCTTCCATCTCCTTCTTCTTGAGACTATCATGCTCCTCTGACACTTTGTTCCTCAGCTGGTGGATGCTGGAAGTAACCACATGACAGAGACTCATCTAGCACAGGGAAGTCAATGAATTCTCCTTCCCAGAAAAATAGAAATCTTGAGGTGTGTTGTTTATTTTTAGCAATAATCTGAGCCCCCAAAGTATATCAATACTGGGTCTGAGGGTAAGAGATGAGTGTGGCCTTCAGACCATAGTCTGATTTAAACTCTCCATAAGCCAATAATATTTCCTCTAGTCAGTTATTCCACTAAATAACCTTCTGATATTTGCCTCATTTTTCATGCTCTTGAATATTAGAGGAGAGTGACACCAATTATATTCTAGTAACTGGGAAGTTATTTTCCTTCTGGCATTAGATATTCTCTCTCTCTCTCAAAGCACAAAAATATTTATATACCCTTTTACCCACACATTCTAGTCCTGAGAGTTTACCCCAAAGAAATAATTTTAAATATGGCAAGCTTTAATGTCTAATACTATGCACTGAAACACTGTATCTAATAGCAAAATTAAGAAATAATTTATATGGCCAATACTCGGAGAATAATTAAGTAAATTGCAATATTACCTCTCAATGGCATACTAGGAAGTCATTAACAATGATGATTAGGAAAAATGTAGCTTTGGGAGATTTATCTATACATTAAATATTTTGTGTATATTCTTGTCAAAAATGAATGCTCTTCACCTCTGTCCCCAAATCTGATAATTCCTGAAGGTAAAATCTAATAAAACAAATAAAAAGCAGAATCAGATCTATAAATACAGAGAACAAACTGTTGTTTGTCAGAGGGGATGGGGATTAGGCAAAATGGATGAAGGGGAGGTGCAGGCTTCCAGTTATGGAATAAATACATCACAAGAATAATAGTCACTGGGTGTTATACACAACTAATGAATCATTGAACACTACATCAAAAACTAATGATGTACTCTATGTTGCCTAACTGAACATAATAATAATAAAAAAGAATAATAGTCACAGCATAAGGAATATAGTCAATGATATTATAATAGTGATGTAACAGGACAGATGGTAGCTACACTTGTGGTGAATATAGCATAAATGTATAAACTTGTCAAATCACTAAGTTGTACACCTGAAACTAATGTAACATTATATATCAGCTATACAGAAATGAAAAAAAAAGCTAATAAAAACTAATCCATTCATCTTTCAATGGACATTTGGGCTCTTTCCATATTTGGGTATTGTGGACATTGCTGCTATAAACATTGGGGTGCATGTGCCCCTTCAAATCACTATGTTTGTATCCTTTAGATAAATACATAGTAGTGCAATTGCTGGGGCGTAGGGTAGTTCTATTTTTAACTTTTTGAGGAACCTCCACACTGTTTTCCTAAGTGGCTGCACCAGTTTACATTCCCACCAACAGTGTAATTGGATAAAGAAGATGTATACACACACACACACTGGAATATTACTCAGCCATTAAAAAGAATGAAATCTTGCCATTTGCAACAACATGAATGGAACTGGAGGGTATTATGCTAAGTGAAAGAAGTCAGAGAAAGACAAATATATGATTTCACTCATATGCGGAATTTAAGAAACAAAGCAGATGAACATAGGGGAAGGGAAGGAAAAATAAAATAAGATAAAAACAGAGTGGGAGGCAAACCATAAGAGACTCTTAACTCTAGGAAACAAACTTAGGGTTGCTGGAGGGGAAGGGGGTGGGGGGATGGGCTAAATGGGTGATGAGCATTAAGGAGGGCACTTGATGTACTGAGCACTGGGTGTTACATGCAGCTAATGAATCACTACGTTCTACCCCTGAAACTAATAACATACTATATGTTAACTAAATGGAATTTAAATAAAAAACTAAAATTTAAAAAAGTAACTGCACCAGGAATAAGTAAAATATAAAGCCATTATCAGGGACTTAAAAAAAAAACTAATAAAATTCACTCTTATCACTAAATGTTGTTACACTTTAAGGCCCAAATAACCTTGATTTGGGACACCTCTATCCCTAAGAGAATGTAACACCCAAAGGAGGCATTCTCCTTCTTACTTCGCTTCCATCTACACCATGAGGGTAGAGAGCCTCTCTGAATATCTGTTTGCCCTGAGGGTATGAAGTGATAGCTTAGCACTAGCACCAGCATCAGTGAGTGACAATAGGACTGATACTTGGACACCTATAAGCATCTCTGGGGATTCTTAGAAACATTTGGGCAAGAGAACCCTTAATAAAAAAATTTGACTTCCTGCAGCAAGAAAGAGAGGTTTAGACATTTGAGACAGTGATGTTACTGGGCCTTCACTAGCTCCAGAAAACTAGATACATTGGTTACAGGTAGAATGGCCACCCCACAGCAGAAATTTTCCTCTTTAATGGGAGAAGAGATCCATCTGGTGGCCTTGGAGGATAAGCCCACCAAAAGTCTTTTTTAAAAGCCTTCTCAGCTTTAGTCACAGTTAATTTTAGAAAGCTGGCTTTGAACCAAATGCAATAAGCCAAGTGCTGGAAGAACCATCTGTTCCTGTGTCTGCTTTAAACCGTCTGGCAGCAGTGGAGGCACAGATCCTGTGTTGCTAGTTCAACAACTCTTGACACTTTAGAAATGTCTGTGTCAAAAAAGCAATTGGTTCCAAGAACATGTAAATAGCTGTTATTTCCCAACCAAAATATTCAGATGAAGAATGAAGAAAATGGGGCTAAGCATTACTTTCAAATGAGGGAAATGTGCAAAGTTTTAATGAGTCCAATGATTGCCACATAGGTCATAACTATATCATAGTTAAAACAAGTTTTTGAAAGGGAAAAAGTGAGATTCAGGAATTTCCACCTCATGGATGACAGCAAGGCTAATCAGAGGATCATGCCAATAGATAATACAATTTAAATAAAAATGTTGGGACCAAAGAAGACCAACTTCTTATCAAATTCTGTAGAATATAGCTGAAGCTACTCTAAATAGGTCTTAATTATATTACTCCTTCACTCAATAAATGTTAATTAAACATTTGAGTGTAAGGCACTCCACTATGGAGATAACGGTCAGGTGGAAGAGATGCAAAAAGTTACAATCCAATGTGCTAAGTGGCATACATAAGAAACTTTTGACACATTAACTCTCAGATGCCTATTTTAAATTTTAAAATAACTTGGAATTGATAAAGCAATGCAGTTCATGGCCAAGTGAAATCCAGGACCTTAAAGATGAACTAACAGAAGGAACAGATCTTTTTGGTTTTGTTACAAAAGTAAAAGCAAAAAGGTGAGTCACACAGACTAAGATTTTATCCACAGATGCTATGATCATAGATTTATAAAATCCTAAAGAATCTACAAAATGTGCTACTAGAACTATTAAGTACATTTGGCAAGTTCACAGGATACAAGGTCATGATCAAAATCAATTTCACTTCTACATACAGGCATAACTCATTTTGGGAGCACTTCACTTTATTGCACTTTGCAGATATTGTGTTTTTAACAAATTGAAGATTTGTGGCAACACTACATTAAGCAAGTCCCCTGGTACCATTTCCCAACACCATTTGCTCACTTCATGTCTCTGTGCCACATTTTTTTTTAAGATTTTATTTATTTATTTATTTATTTGAGAGAAAGAGAGAGAGACAGAGAAACAGCATGAGATGGGAGAGGGTCAGAGGGAGAAGCAGGCTCCCCGCTGAGCCGGGAGCCCGATGTGGGACTCAATCCCAGGACTCCGGGATCATGACCTGAGCCGAAGGCAGTCGCTTAACCAACTGAGCCACCCAGGCACCCTTTGCACAGTATTTCAGAGTTTTTCATTATTATTATACTTGCTATGGTGATCTGTGATCAGCGATCTCTGATGTTACTATTGTAATTGTTTTGCGGCAGCATGGACTGCACCCATATAAAATGGTAAACTTAATTCATAAATGTTGGTTGCTCCACCAACCAGCCATTTCCCTATCTCGTTCCCTCTTCTGGTTCTCCCTATTCACTGAGACACAACAGTAATGAAATCAGGCCAATTAATAACCTTACAATGGCCTCTAAGTGTTCAACTGAAAGAAAGAATCACATCTCTCCCTTTAAATCAAAAGCTAGAAATGATTAAGCATCGTGAGTAAGGCATGTCAAAAGCCAAGACAGGCCCAAAGCCTTTGTATTCACAACAGCCAAGTTGTGATTACAAAGGAAAAGTTTGTAAAGGAAATTGAGTCTACCCCAGTGAACACATGAATGATAAGATAGTGAAACAGCCTTATTGTTGACTTGGAGAAAGTCTGAGTGGTCTGGATAGAAGATCAAACCAACCACAACATTCCCTTGAGCCAAAGCCTAATCCAGAGAAGGACCCTAACTCTCTTCAATTCTAGGAAGGCTGAGAGAGGTGAGGAAGCTGCAGAAAAAGAGTTGGAAGTTAGCAGAGGTGGGTTCATGAGGTTTAAGGAAAGAAGCCATCTCTGTAACATGAAAGTGTAAGGGGAAGCAGCAGGTGCTGATGGAGAAGCTACAGCAAGTTCTCCAGAAGGTCTAGCTCAGATCATTCATGGCAATGGCTACACTAAACAACAGATTTTCAGCGTGGACAACACAGCCTTCTATTGGAAGAAGATGGCATCTAGGAGTTTCATAGCTAGAGAGAAGAAGTCAATGCTTGGTTTCAAAGCTTCAAAGGACAGGTTGACTTTCTTGTTAGGGACTAAGGCAACTGATGATTTTAAGCTGAAGTCAGTGCTCATTTACCATTCCGAAAATCCCAGGGCCCTTAAGAATTATGCTAAATCTACTCTGTTGTGCTCTATAAATGGAACAACAAAGCCTGGATAATAGCATGTCTGTTTACAACATGGTTTACTGAATATTTTAAGTCCACTGTTGAGACCTACTGTTCAGAAAGAAAGATTCTTTTCAAAATATCACTGCTCATTGACAATGCACCTGGTCATCCAAGAGTTCTGATGGAGATTACCTAATTAATGTCATTTTCATGCCTGCTGACAAAACATCCATTCTGCTGCCCATGGATCAAGGAGTAATTTCT